ACTTGGCCGTGTTCCTGTATAACTTTATTTACCAGATCCCATGGCCCTCTGGCTATTATTTGCTCCTCACCTACATCAATTTTTTTTTCATTAGGGATGGCACAATAATATTATAATTATGTTATTCTCACTTTGCTTATTAATTGAAATGCTTCTATAAAAAAAAGAATTTTGCCTCATCACACCAATTACTTGGTTGTAAAGGAAAGACAGAATTGATGCTTGAGTCTCTCCACTTTCCCCTTCCAAGTTTCACTATTCGACAGTATTACCTTCCCAGTATTACCTTATGCTCTCTCTGTTCTTTTATAAAGGAAATTTTTTGCTTGTCTCCAGACCCTCAAAATAACCTACCAAATCATACCATGTAGGCATGGTTAGGAATGGTGTGTTTGTGGGTAACAGGGCAGACCTTTATTTATTATTCAATTTTAAAATAAGGAGTTGATTTCCTAGCATCTTCCAAAAGCAGTCAGTTTTTTAAAGTCTGACCATGAAATTATGGAATTTTAATATGCTTGATGTTTCTTCCTAGACTGAGGGCCCTGCAGGTGCTCAGGAGAGCCCTGGGGAAGTGTCTGCCGCAGGCCCACTGCTGAGCCACTAGTCACTCCAGGAGGATGTCCTGGTTGTGCTGATGTCACAAAGAGGACCAGTGCTCTTTGTCTGCAGCTGTTAAATCCATGATGTTACCATTTTCAGTTTTATTAGATTCTTTAGATTTATTAGATTCCATTCTTTATCAGTTTTACATAATTTTTATCTGTTAGCATAATTGTTCTTTTTCCCCAGTACTAAGTCATTATTGTTAAGCAAAATTGACATTTGGTTAACCTAGAATTTGAAATTTAATTTAATGATTTAGGGGTATAGAGTCACACCTCCTCAGATGTATGTCACCATACCTACCACCAAAGCACCCACAATCTTCCGCCATAGTCCACGGTGCCCACCTTCTCCCCTTTGTCCCCAGCTTCATACTCCCCCCTCTAGTAGCCTTAATTCTGCAGTCATATCTCTAGGGTTTATTTTTGGTTTAGTTCTGTCAGTTTTTTGTTATTTTTCTAGATTTTTCCTGTGAGTGAGATCAGCTGGTATTTGTCTCTTTCCTTCTGACTTATTAGCATAATCCCTTCCAGTTCCATCCGTGTTGTCACAAATGGCAAATTTTCATCTTTTTTCTTTGTATAGCTGAGTAGTATTCCACTGTGTATGCACCACAGCTTCTTAATCAACACATCTGTCCTTGGATGCTGAGATTGTTTCCACAAGTTGGCCATTGTAAATAGTGTTGCGGTGAACATAGGAGTGCTTATATTCCTTCAGATTCGTTTTTGCATTCTTTGGATAAATACCAAGGAACAAAGCTGCTGGATCCTATGATATGGTATATACTATTTTTAGTATTTTGAGGAATTCCTATCTTGTTTTCTATAAAGCTGGAATAGTCTACATTCCCAACAGTGTACAAGGGTTCCTTTTCTTTCTTTCCTTTTTTTTTTTTTAAGGATTTATTTATTAAGGATTCCTTTTCCTCCACACCCTCACCAACATTTGTTGTTTCTTGTATTTTTGATGTGGGCCATTCTTATGGGAGTAAGGTTTTAATCACATTGTGGTTTTCGTTTGGGCTTCCCTCATAAATGACAATGTGCATTTTTCATGTTTCTGTTGGCCATCTGTATGTCTCATTTGGAGAAGTGTCTGTTTAGCTCTTCTACCCGTTTTTGTTTGTTTTTTTTTTTTTAAGATTTATTTATTTATTTATACAAGCACTGGGTACAGTCAGAAGCACAAGAGGGTGAGAGAATTCACCAGAGCCGGAGCAGGGAACAGAACAGGCAGACTGACGAAATACACTGCTGAGGGGAGCAGCGGGCGCAGCAGGAGAGTTCTGCGTGTCATGTGGGACCATTGCCAGCAGCTGGAGATCGAACCAACAACGCTGCAGAGGCTGCCGGCAGCTTCGCAGCCCAGCACTCAACCGCTGTGCCACCAGGGGAGGCCCTCTTCTACACATTTGTTGACTGGGATTTTTGCTTTCTTTTTCTTGAGCTTTATGTGTTCTTTGTAGATCTTGGATGTATGATATACAAATATTTTCTCACATTCAGTAGGGTGTCTTTTTGTTTTAATGGTAATTTATTTTGCTGTGCAGACACCTTTTAGTTTGATGTAGTCCTGTTCATTTATTTTTGCTTTTATTTTCTTTGCCATTGGAATTGAGTCCCCCAAGGCATCTGTGAGGCCTGTGTCGTGGAGTGTTTTGGCGATGTTTTCTTCTATTGTCTTCTCCAACCCATAACAGTATTCCTTGAATCTTGTTTTATATTCTCGGTGTTTCTCACTTACTTTCTGTGTTCATTCAGCTTCTGGGGGAAACTCACAACTCCCCGTCTCTTTTTGCTGATTTCAGTCTCTCTCCCGACAGACGAGCTTTATTGCTATGTCCCTATTTTATAGCACTGATAGTTCTGTTTCTGTGTTCACTGTCAAGTAGAAGATATTTACTTTTTATTTTTTTTAAGTATAAGATATTTAAACTTTGACTTTTTAAACTTTTTTGCATAGAAGAACTGCGATGTAGGCCAGGTTGCAGGGGGTGAGAGAATTCACCAGAGACAGAGTGGGGAGCAGAACAGACAGATTGACTGAAATACACTGCTGAGGGGAGTAGTGGTCTAGACAGGAAGGGTCTGCTGCACCCTGTGGATCAGCTCCCTGGCTGGGGATCGAACTCAGACTGTAATAGTGCTGTGACTTAACCCCTAGGCCACCAGGGAGGCTCTGACTTTTTTTTTTTTTTTTTTTTTAAGAACTGAAAATAAAATCCAGGGGAGGAGAATACGTCATTTTCTTGGGGTAGCTTAAATATGTTCATGTCACTCAGGAACTGAGTAGAAACATCTTGAAGGTAGGCTGAATCCTGCAGAAGCCCCTTCTGTGGCGACCTGCTTGTGTCTGCTGTCTGTTTTAGCCTCATCTCTGTTGGTGTCCTCACGCTTTGTGACGTCCTGTTTCTAGTGCCACTCATCCCACTGCAGTTGCCCTTCTTTCCATGAAGAAAGGAAGCGATGCTCTCCTGGGTTTGCCTTTTGAGGAGACAAGTGGTTAGTCTGTCACACCACAATTCATGTAACCTTAATATGTAGTAAATACAAACCATCTTTCCTAACAGTGTCCTTCCTTTCTTATACGAATATCATTTTTAGGTCATTAAAGTAACACTTCTGCTTTTTGCTTTATCCTAATCTTCACAGTTGAGTACATGTTAATCAATAATGACACATTATGTAGCTGTGTTGTAAAGTGACACATTCATTAAGATTGAGCCCGAAAGGCCTGCTGAGAAAAGCCATTCTGGGCAAATATACTCGATAAAATCTAATCTCCATTTCTGTTTCTCTTTGCCACGCTAAGATTAAGGCATCTAGTAGAATTAAGAAAGTGCTTTTATTTTTCTTTGAAAACCTTTATGCCTATTATTTTTTTTTAATTGCTTCTTTTTTTTTTAAAAAGATTTATTTATTTATTTATGCAAGCACTGGGTACAGTCAGAAGTGTGGGAGGGTGAGAGAACTCACCAGAGCCAGAGCGGGGAATAGAACAGGCAGAAGGACCGAAGTACACTGCTGAGGGGAGCAGTGGGCAGCAGAAGAGGTCTGCGCACCATGTGGGACCCTCACCTGGTGGCCGGGGATTGAACCGGCGCTGCAGAGGTTGCGGGCTGCCTCACAACCCAGCGCTCAACTGCTGCGCCACCAGGGGAAGCCCCCATTATGCCTATTATTAATTGAAGCATTTCATTAATTGAGGTAGTCACATTTTGTTGAATCAGTACAGCTAGACTTTGCTCAGTATAAAGATGCTCCATTTCAAGAGTTGTGGTAGTAATTTTTATTAATGCTGGCGGAAAAATGATATATTTTCAGGATTATGGCAGGTGAGTAAAACACTTTTGGGAGAGACGAAAAGGAAAAAAATGTGGCTTTTTTTTATATTAGAGTAATATAAAAATAACATTTCTAGATTTTGGTCTATTTATAATTTTTGAGAAAGCTGTGAGTATTGAGATATAGCAGTGATGACTGTTTTACTTAGCATATAAGGAAACATCTAGAGAAAATTTAAAAGCCATAGAAACCAAGCCATCCCTCCTTGGCCTGATGTCTGGACATATACAGAAAAATAGTCCTAGAGCAGTTATAGTCTATGAATTTTATTAATGAATATCTTTGAGCCTAAACCCAAAGTTGATTATGAACAATTGTTTATGAAAACTAGGGATTTTCAATGATGAAGATAAAGAGTTTCTTTTATTTATTCAACATATACTGAGGGATTTTGAGATGCTGTGATTCATGATTTTTTATATATATATTATCTTATGATTAAATATTTCTTGGGAAGTTCTGCTGATCAGATTTAATATTTCCTTATGGAAATTCTGGGATACTAGATTTATGATTTTAAAATCTTGATTATAAAATACATGTGGTATCAAAGACTATTTATCAAGACAAGGTATTTAAAAAAAAGATAATATGCTGACCTCCTCCCACTTAGAAGGGAAGGGTCTCCCCTAACATTTGTGGAAATAGATGATGTCTCAGAGATAATTCAGTACATTTATTTATATGACAGGTGTTTATTGAGCATTTGTACTGGCCTGATTGATGGTGGTGTGCTACAGTGGCAAATGGCATATCATTTAACTCATATTCTTAGAATTTACATTTTATTTCATTGGAGGAATTGAGAACAAACAAATTAGCTAAATTGGGCTTGTTGAAGTTGAAGAAAGTGAATAGTGCTATTACAGAAAATAAAGGGTGAGGGATTTAAAGATTAAGATAATCAGGAAGAAGCTCCTTGAGTGTTTTGTATTGAAGTTGAGAGCTGTAGAAAGGAATGATCTTAGTTAGGACATATCACATTGAGGAAACATCCTAAAGCAACAAACTACACTTTGGACTGTTCCATGAACTTAACTCCCTGTGCCCCAGGGAGGCAGTTGGACAGCAGTTCAAGATGGAACTGTGGGAAGATGGGGCCAGATTATGCAATACCTCACTGTATGGAGTTAGAGTTTACTCTCTACTTAATGGATGGCTCCTGAACAGACAGACAATAGATATACTCTAATTCATATTTTCAGAAGCTAACTTTTGACAGTTGAGGAGAAAATAATTTGTAGTGAGGCAAGATTAGAAGCCGGGAGATCAGTTAGGAAGTAGCTTTAAAGGACAGATTGGATGAAGGGGAAATATTGGAGACATACTTTGAAGGAAGAATTGACTTGCCTGGGTGGAGTGTTAAAGGTGAGATGCCATTTAGAAACAATGGTAGCTCCCAGATTTTGACCTGAAAAGCTGAGAGAATGGTGGTGCCACTTATTGTGATGGTGAAACTATGTTGGCTGAGGGTTAGAGGTAAGGATCAAAACTCAAGTTAGGGCCTCCCTGGTGGCCTGTGGATTAAGTCTCAGTACTATCACTGCTATGGCCTGAGTTCAATCCCTGGCCAGGAGCTAACCCACAAATGGCACAGCAGACCTCTCCTGTCTTGCCCACTGCTCCCCTCAGCAGTGTATTTCAGTAAATCCACCTGTTCTGCTCTCTGCACTGTCTCTGATGAATCGTCTCACCCCCCCCACACCTCTGGCCTATACCCCAGTTCTTCTATACAAAACAAACAAACACACAAAAAAACTCAGGTTAAATTTTTATCTGTACAAACATAAGTGGAGGTGTCCGGTGGGCAGTCTGGAACTCAAAGGAAGGTATAAGCTGCAGACACAAAATTGGGGGAGTTGTCAGGTGGCTTTCAAGCTGATGAAGTAGAGAAGAAAATCAGGAGAGACTGTGAGTGGAGAAGGCACAGTGGCTCAAAACCAAGTGCTAGCATGCTCTACATTTAAAGATTTATAGACACATTGAGAAAGTGATCAGGATGAGAACAGGCAAGTGGGATAGTTTCAGGAGGAAGAGAGTGTTTATTGAGTAGAAAGCTCTTGAGAGGTGAAGCAAGATGAGGGCAGAAAAGGAACCATTTACTTTTTTTTAAAAAGATTTTTTTTTTATTTATGCATACAAGAACTGGGGTACAGGCCAGAGGTGTGTGGGGGGTGGTGAGAGGATTCACCAGAGACAGAGTGGGGAGCAGAACAGGCAGATTGACTGAAATACACTGCTGAGGGGAGCAGCGGGTGAGTCAGGAGAGGTCTGCTGCACCATGTGGGTAGCTCCCTGGCCGGGAATTGAACTCATGCTGCAGTGGCTGTGGGTAGCTTCATAGGTTGCATCTTAACTCCTTGTGCCACCAGGGAGGCCTGGAACCATTTACTTTCTATAATCAGCTTCTGTCTTCAGAAACCTTGTCTTAATTTGTCTTTGCATTCCCAGCATTTAGCACCCAGCCAGGCACATAACGGGTATTAAGTAAATACTTGTCAAATGATTATGTGAAAGAGATGGTATCAAAAGAGGACTACATTGTGGGTTCATCAAGAATCAAAATTTTTTGCTTTTTTAAGTGAATTTCGGTAGCCGTTAAACATGATTAGCCTATCGTTTTATCAATTGTTAAAATATTGAAAATCTGCTTTTCAGCCCTGGGTTTAGCAGCAGAAATGTATATGTTTTTAGCCAGTGAGTCTATTTTGTCTTTGAAAAGAAGGGCAGTCATATTGGTTTGGAAGAAGAAGAAACATTTGAGTGTATGTGTAGTATCAGTTTCATTTAGTGAAATCAACATCAAAGTAATTGACCTACTCCCACATAAATTTGAAATCGTAAAAGTGGTGCGAAGCATTTTATTGGCTGTAGACATTTTATTCTTTCTTGAAATGATTAGAGAGTTTTATTAAACTTTGATGAAGGGAATTAAGAAGGAAGGATTGAATAGCAAAGAGATTTGTCTAGTTGGCAAGGACTAAGCCACTTTGAATAATGGAATTTGCAGCCTGTATTACTATTAACCTGTGATCTTCTTCAATTATACGTTTAAATAATTATGAATTATTTTAATTTTAAAATTTTATCTTGTTGGCTTCTTTTAACTAATAAGTAATGTACCAGGGAGATAGTATGAACTTGCAAAACTTCATGCATTGCTTGTTATTAACTTATATATGCAGGTAGAATAAACAAGAAAAATAGGTAATGAAATTTCCCTCTGAACTCGTTAGGTAGTGGAGATTGTTATGATATTCTGAACTTGGTAGATTGTCTTACTAGCTGTGTGCATTCTCTGTGGGTAAGAAACCTGTGTTCAGTGCATATTCTGTGTCCACCATAAATTTAGAATGCTGAAGAACTATAAAAATATCTATGGGTACATTATTTCTAAATTTCTAAAGCATCCATATAGTGCTTATTTATGTAAATTATTTAGACCTATATGATTTCATTGAATCCTCCCATTGTTACCTTTTACTTCAAGGTCATATAATCAATCAGTGTCATAACTAGCCCCCAAACCTAGGTCTCCTAACTCCAGAGTCTGTGTGCTTCTATTTCTGACTTACTGCAAGTGATGGTCATGCTCCTGCTGCACACCTGGGGTCCTGAGGTTGCAGACCAGGTAGTGGGTATTTGTCCATGAGTGAGGAGTACTTGTTTTTCTCCTTCATTACAGAACATACATTAGTTTAAAACCGCTGGCAAATGTTGCATCATAAATCCCTCTTCTCTATTCATAAATAGTGGCCTCTCATTCAAAATTAATAGCCTGGAATTCCAGATCATTAAGCTGACTATATTCTAATAAATAGATTATGATTCCCCATCAAATTAAACTGCCTGGTCTTGGAGGAGGGGTAAAGTAGAAGTTTTAATGTTTGAGGACAGCTTCCGGGAAGCACTCTGTGTGCCTCCAAGCAGCCATTAGGAGCTGTCGGTGTTGCAGGTGAAATTCTTTCAGGAACTTGTCATAGAGAGGTTTGGGGACTCCTGGAGGAAAATTGCCCTCACATCAGTGTGTGCGTTTGTATTTGTGTGTGCAGTGTGTGTGTGTGTGTGTGTGTGACAGAGAGAGAGAGAGAGAGAGAGAGAGAGAGAGAGAGACCCACAAAAGACCAAGGAGAAGATGTACCTTGAGTTGGTGCTTCTATCTTGGAGGCTGAGAGAGTGTGAGGAGACTGCTTTGGAGCAGAAAGTCTTTTGGCATCTTGGCAGAGGCCCGGCAACCTGCCTGCTGTGACAGTGATAGATCACAGGTCTAATCACAGGATTGGAGACCTCTGGGCTCCCCTCTGCTCTTACAGCTGCAGCCATGTGGGCCCTGCAACACCAGACCTGACCCCGGTGGTTGAGCCAAGGAAAGTCATGGCACTGCCATCAAAGAGAAGAGTCCTCGATGGGGCACAGATGTAACTCATGGTCCTGTTTGTAGTCGATGCCACACAGTGGGCTGGAGACAAAGGACAACCTGACAAAAAATAGAGCACATAAGGAGATTTAGATGCAGTACAATCAGACTTCCTGGAGATGAGATGCACTATTTTCCAAACACACAATTCAGTCAATGAATCAAAGGAGGTGGTATCATTCTTGAGACTTGAATTAGTAGCCTGCTTCGTCAAAGGGAAGAATCTAAGAGCACAAAACAAAAGTGTAAAGGGATGGAAATCACAAGGAAAAATAGATCTAGGAAATATAACTTGTAAGTAACAAGAGAGCCAGGAGGACAAAAAGGAACAGATGGAGGAAAGGCAGTAATTAAATAACTATAAGAAAATTTTCTGAACTTAAAAATCAAGACTTGAGTCTGTAAATTCAAATGGTTTATCAAGTTCCAGGGAAGATTATGAAAAAAGACATCTGTGTATATTTTCGGAAGGTTCTTGAATGTCAAAGAACTCTTCTCTAGGTAGGTATTTACCCAAATAACATGAAAACACTAATGTGAAAAGTTTAATACACCCCTATGTTCATAGCAGCAGTGTCCCCAACTGCCACGTCCTGGAACCAACTTAAGTCCCCAGTGACAAACAACTGGATAAAGATATTATGGAATAGATACTCAATGGAATACTACTCAGCTATTAAGAAAGATGAAATTATGCCCTTTGGGACAAAAGGGGTGGCCCATGAGGTGTTATGTAAAGTGATATATCAGACAAACGTAGGATGATTTCACTTATTAGTGGTGTATAAATAACAAAAAGAAAAAACTATGCTATAAAGCACAACAAAAACAAATCTTAAACTCCGTGAAAATTATACTGGTCACCAGAGAGGAGAGGGTGTTGGAAGGAGAAAAGGAGGAGGGAATTGGGGAGTGAAGGGGGTAAGGTATTGGCACAGGAGGCTTGGTGCAGAACATACAGAGACATAAAAGTATAACCCAAAGTTGTGTAAGTTACATAACAGGCATCATATAAACGATTGACACATTAATTCCAAAAAAGAGAAAGAAACGAAACAAGCTCTTAGAAGCTTCCAGGTAGAGAGAACAAATTGCCTACCTACCGCTAACAAGTATATCAGACTTAGCAGAGTCTCATTCCTGACCCAGAAGCAAGAGATAATGGAGTAACTTCTATGGGGCATGGAGTCAGAGAGCCCTCAGCCTGAAAATCTACAGGTAGGCAAGCTGCCAGTTCCCTGCCAGGGCAAAAAAAATATACTGTATGGAAGAGTTTAGAGATGTCCTCACCCATTTTCTAATGAAAATACTCAAGAAGACAGTATCAAGCGAAAAGTATCTAAACAGAAACACCTGGCAATGAGGCAGAGACAATAAAAGAGGAAATTTTTCTGCATCAACTAATTCATATGAGAAGGAATGAAGAAGTTCAGATCAAACAGTCTTCATATTAAATGTGTATGAACTGAGTTTGCCTATTAATCATTTGGAACAGTCAGACTGAGTTAAGAAAGTAAAACCCAACTATGTGCTGCTTGTAAGAAACACTTGAAACACAATGATAGAAATTGAAAATAAAAGATTGGATAAACATCTAGGCAAATACAGCGTCAGAAGAACTAGCAGTATTAGGTTTAGACAGGCAGTATTAAATAAAAGGCCTGAAGACATGGTATGTTTTTTAAATAGCACCGTTTATGAGGAGAATAAATAGACTTGTATATACAAAATAATGTAGCCACTAAATCTGTAAAGCCAGTGTTAGCAGTGCAAATATGGTTATGCTGACACTTCAATAAGCTTTCCTCCTGTATGTCTCAATCTGTCTTAACTTTGCATAGACCCTTAAGATAAAATGAACATAGAAAAGTTAAATTTAATAGGTATGCAAGAGCCTTACATCCTTTAATATAGAATATTCTTTTCCGGTTTACTTGATCATATACTTGAC